TCCCCCCGGAACTGTCAGTCCCGTTGTTTTCTCCTCCAGATTGTTCATCCAGCCGATCTTATTTAGACAGACGTGTGGAGATAAGAACATGCACAAAAACAAGACAGAGCAAAACCAAGCAACAATAGGTTGCTTGTGTCATCGAGTGAAATCGAATGAGTGTGGGGTGTGCTTTAAGCCCGTCTCTTCCAAGTCTAAAGGAACCCAGAGGAGGACGCCGGAGTGGGGGAGAGAGGTGCCCAGCCAAGTGACCACTCCCAGCCGCAGGGGTGTGAAAGCGTCAGAGACCTTCCCCCAGGGCTCCCAGCGGGAGCGCGCGTCTCCCTAGAGCGGGCGCCCTCGACAGAGACATCCAGCCTGCTAATCTCGGAGGGAACCCACTTCTGTTTGTGAATGCGCCCCCCAGCGTGCGGTGTTCCTAGTAGCGTGGCCCCCGCGCGTGGCGGTATCACCCACAGCGGGTATCCTTCCAGGAGCCGAGCACGGAAGTGTCGAGTGGTTTTCGGGCCTCATTTCACATCCTCCTGAGGGACCTTGTGGGGACTGTTCCTCATGGCTCTCTCTGGGGCAAGCTGGGTGAGGGGGTGGAACACCTCATGATTTCCATTGACAGTTGAAGACTCCAAGGGTCAGACCGGGTTGGAAGGCCTTCTCAGGGTGCCTGACTAGCAAACGCCAGGACAGGGGCTGAGTCCAGCTCTTCAGCCCGTCCGTCTGGCTGTCTGGAAGAGCGCCCCGTAAATGCAGAGAAGGGGCGCGCCTGGCCGTCCCCACGGTTCCCCCTCCCCACTCTAGCTCCCTTCCCCCTCTCTTCGGGCAGGTGGTCACAGAGCCACCCAATGGGCTGAAGCTCAACCTGAGAGCAACGTACTTCAAGATCACCCACGAGATGCTGGAGCAGTGCCCCCACCCGGCCTACAAGTCCCTGGTCTACGTGCTGGCCTTCTTCCATGCGGTGGTGCAGGAACGAAGGAAGTTTGGGAAGATCGGATGGAATGTCTCCTACGATTTCAACGAGTCTGACTTCCAGGTCAAAGCGCCATGCTCCCCCTTCTCCTCCTCTGGGGTCACTTCCCGCAGCCGGCCCGGCCCCTATGGTCCAGTGAGCCCCTGGGTGTGCCCGCCTTTGCGGACCCCCTCACCCATGTCCCATACAGAAGGGGCAGCCTGTGAGGGCCCACTTCTCTGTCCTTCATGCAATGGGCCTCTTCCTCCCCCCGTAGGTCTGCATGGAGATTCTGAATACATACCTAACCAAAGCCTTCCAGCAAAAAGACCCCCGGATCCCGTGGGGCAGCCTCAAGTACCTAATTGGAGAGGTGCGAGCGTCTCGGGGACTCTTCCCACGGGGCTGGTGCTGGGCTATGGCCCTAGCGCCCTGACCTTGTTCTCTGGGGCCCTATGTGAAACCCTCTGGTTCCCACCACCCTCAGCTGCAGGACCCCTGGGGCTGTGGGCACCGTGCCCACTGTTCCCCAACCGGTCTCTTCCCGAGCGAGCTCCTCCTCCCAGGGAGTCCCCTGCAGCAGCACTTGGTGGCCTTGGGGGTGTCCCCTAAGAGCCACCGGGATGTGTCGGGCTGGCTGTGCCTCCCGCTGGCCAGCAGGCATGAAGTCCATGCTGGAGGTCACCGTCACACCGCGCACCTGGGGAGCCTGCCCAAGGGGTCTGCTCATTGCTCCAGCGGCAGCATTACTGAGCCGCAGGGGCCTGCTGGCCCCTCTGTGTTGTTAGTTGGTGCAATGCTTGGGGCTGGGGGTGGAAGGCCCTTGTCAATGCATCCTCGCCAGGGCGCCCTGGGACAGTCTCGGTCTGCCTTTGGGAGCAAGCTCCGAGGTCATGTGCGCCTAGGGGTGGTACTGTGGCCAGGCTGCGGCCCGTGTGATGCTGAGTCCTCTGGGCGTGTCCGGTCAGCGTGGGCAGTCCAGACCAGCTCACCATCGGTCCTTTCAGGTCATGTACGGAGGCCGGGCCATCGACAGCTTCGACCGCCGCATCCTCACCATCTACATGGACGAGTACTTGGGGGATTTCATTTTCGATACTTTCCAGCCATTCCACTTCTTCCACAACAAGGAAGTGGACTATAATATCCCCCCGGGTGACGTCAAGGACAAATACGTGGGTGAGCGTTCTCAGATGTTGGGTGTCCCTGGGTGAGGCCGTCAGCGAGCTAGCTCTGGGACCCTTCTCTGGGGACCTCCTGGGCTGGCGGAAGCTTACTGGTGGCCCAACGGGCTCTTACTGGCCTTCGTGGCAAGTACCCTCAGCTCTCTTGTACTGGAATGCTGATGAACACACTGGGCCTCACCTGCAAAGGCAGAGTGGCCAGGCCCAGCTCATAAAAGATCAGTAGACTCTGGGTGTGTGTGTGTGTGTGTTTGGGGGTGTTTAAAGAGTAGTGTGAGACGAGGGCCGGCCCCGGCGGGCCCTGTCTGTTCTCCACCGTGCAGAGGCCATCGAGGCGCTCCCTCTCGCCAACACGCCGGAAGTGTTTGGGCTGCACCCCAATGCGGAGATTGGCTACTACACGCAGGCGGCTCGGGACATGTGGGCGCATCTGCTGGAGCTGCAGCCACAGACGGGTAAGGCCCTCTGCCGAGTCCTTTCGCTGCGCCACCAGGGGCCTGGGTTCTTGAGCTCCAAGGGCTCCTGGGTGGGCCTGGTTATCACCCAGCAGGATGCCCGGAGGACCCTTCCCTGCCCGAGGTGGCTTCAAGCCCTCTAAAAGGTGCCCTGGTTGTAGGGGAATCTAGCAGTGGCATCAGCCGCGAGGATTACATTGGCCAGGTGGCCAAGGACATCGAGAACAAGATGCCCAAGGTCTTTGACCTGGATCAGGTCCGGAAGCACCTGGGCATAGGGATCTCACCCACCTCGGTGGTGCTCCTGCAGGAGTTGGAGCGCTTCAACAAGCTGGTGGTACGCATGAGCAGGTCTTTGGCCGAGCTGCAGAAGGTGAGCAGTGTGCCCGCCCAGGGCAGGAGGCAGGGGCCTGGGGGATGGTCTCAGTGGACACCTCTCTATTCCCTAAACAGGCCTTGGCCGGCGAAGTGGGAATGAGCAGTGAGTTAGATGATGTCGCCAAGTCGCTTTTTATTGGGAATATCCCTAACATCTGGAGGAAGCTGGCCCCTGACACCCTGAAGAGCCTTGGGAACTGGATGGTCTACTTCCTGCACCGGTTCATGCAGTACACATCGTGGGTGAGTGAGGGCCTATGCTGTGTGCATGTGTGTGGAGGGCGGGGGGGTGCGGGGGGTGCAGACCTTAGCCTGTTCATTTCCCAACATCAACTGCTGTTCAGTGAACGTTCCAAATATGGCCTCTGATTCGACCAAGGGGTTTCAAAATGTTTGTGGCAATATAGAATGGTTTCATAATGGGATTTTCCATGAACTTATGCATCTCACATTAGCATATCTACAGCTTTCTGCCCCCACTTTTTCCCTCTTGAGACTTGGAAGCACTTTATACACAGCATGATGTAATCACTAAGGAGTTTATCTGGACAACTGTTTTATATTAGAATAGTTACATTAGAATATTTAGGATATATATAAATTATGTGTGTGTACATGCATGTGTATATGTATGTGTAGGTATATATATGCATGTGTATATTTGTGTAGGTGTGTATATGTGTATGTGTATATATGTATGTGTGTGTATGTACGTGTGCATATATGTATGCATTCAGTTCTTCTGATGGTGCTGTTGGGCTGGGTCCTGTACAGTTAGTGGTTCAAACCCATCAGCTGCATTTTCCAGAGAAAACTGAGGCCGTGTGCTCCCGTAAGGATTTACAGCCCTGGAAACCCGACGTAGAGTCCCTGTGAGTCTGAATCAAATTGAGGCTGGTTGGTTTGGGGTTTTTCATGTATTCCATATTCTGCCTCCCACTCATTCACTGCCAGCAAGTCAATTCTGACTCTCCCTGACCTGGCTTGTGTGAGTGGTTGCTGTGCTTCTGCTAGTACAACCACCCTTTTGGTGCACATGCCCTTGAACCCCATGTGAGCACATCAGTGGAGAAAGTGACACCTGTGTCCCCCTCTGGGGAGAAGCCCACCCCAAGGAGGGCAGTCACCCACTCCGATCCTAGTTGTAGATCTGGGGTTACCAAGAAAGACACCTCCCGCCCCCTCCCACCCCCCCACCCCCCAGACTCTTGACAGAGCAGGGCCTTCCTCAGGTAGAGAAGAGCACAAGGCCACCTTCCCTCTGGGTGTGGGGCACGCACTGCTCTGGCTGCACCAGAAGCGCCCCGCCCCACCAGGAGCAGAGCAAGGTGAGGTTGGCTTGGAAATGCCCATGTGTGGTCATGGGCCACAGCAAACTGTTTGGTCAAGACATGGTCGGAAAGGAAGTCTGTCTGCACTCTTGCTCCACCCAAGAAGCCAGGCAGCTGGTGGGGAGGTCCATTTGTGGGCCATCGCTGGGAAGGCAGCAGGCTGCTCTCAGGCCAAGGACAGATTCCCCTGCCCCCAGTGGGACAAATTATGCAGCGCGCTCTCGCCAGGTGACTCTGCTGAGATGCAGAGCACACCCTGTGAGTTGTGATTTCCTCACCTCTCAGCCCGCTGCGTGGCCTCAACATTTTGGGCCTGTCTCTCTGGGAGGTGAAAGGGGAATGCTGGTTTTGACATGCAGTCACAGGGAGGCTGCACAGACAGTTTAGCTAGGGGCATTTTGCATTTGGGTCTGTGGTTTCTATTTACTCAGCCCTTCCCTTTTTCCTGTGTAAGTTTTGAAGTGCTCTGCATCTAGCAAGGAAACAACGGGTCCTTTGCCTGTCTGCACGCTTGCTCTGCAACTTGTTAAACATCTTGGTCTCCTGCCTCTGGGCGTTGTTTTCTGGTTTTGTTTTTCTTTCCAGAGAAAGGTTTTGAGTTTGGATACAGTCAGATGTACCTGTCTCTCACTCTATGGTGACTGAGTTATTTCACTCCTGCGCTTGATGGCAAAAAATGCGTTTGAGATTTGAGCTGGTCATTCGCCATACATTCATATCTGTAACAGATTCATCTGGAGCTTGGAGAGCGAGTTTGTTTTTCCATCCATGGCTGGCTCATCATCCTGACGGTCACTTTCTCTGTGCTAAGGCCAAGTACGCCCCTCGTGCCATGCGGAGGGCCTCGGCTTGCCCGTTAGCTGCCCCTCCTCCCTGCAGGTCACGGAGGGCGAGCCTGGTGTGATGTGGCTGTCGGGCCTGCACATCCCGGAGTCCTACCTGACCGCGCTGGTGCAGGCCACCTGCCGGAAAAACCGCTGGCCACTGGACCGTTCCACCTTGTTCACTCAGGTGACCAAGTTCCGAGATACAGAGGAAGTGAACGAGCGGGCAGGACAAGGTACCACCAGCTCTTGCAGAGCCTCAGCTCAGTGTCTGGCTGCCCCTGCCTGTACGCTCTCAGTGATGGGCTCAGCCTGGGCGTGCTGGCCTGACATCTCCGGGGAGGGGTGAGCCTGCATTTCCCCACCAGTTAATAGGAGAAAGGCTCCCAGGTACAGTGAGCATTTTCAAAGGACCTGGCTGCCAGCGGCCTCCCTATAGAAGCCCGAGGGACCAGGGGCATGGGGACCAGCAGGAACATGGACTAATTTGTTGGGACCATTATCCGTGACTTTGAGCTCCTTAGACATCAGTTTGTGAATGTGCAGGTGATAGCTGGGACCAGTGTTTCTGGGGACCGGGAGCTCCAGGCTGGCATCCTCTGATGGCCAGAAGTGAGTCCTCTTGAGCTGGCATTTTTGAGGTGTTTACACCTCCGGAGACGCAGGCATCCAGCTGCTCTGAAGAGCTGACCCATGTCTGGGCTGCCCTTGTCTGCACGGCTGCCCCACTCCCTGGAAACCCCCAACTCTGCATGGCTTCCACTCCCTGCTCCCCGGTCCCTCTCCCTCTAGGGGCTTAGAGCTGCGTGGTACTGGCCCTCATCCTGCATGCCCTGCCTCCCAGCTTGGGCACCCAGGATGTGGGCTGCGGAGGCCCTGGGCCTGTGGATGGGTCAGGTGTCCCTCTCTGGTGGAACTCGGCCTCCATCTCCATGGCCCCTCTTGGAAGGAGAGCCAGGAACTCGGTGGTGGCCGTGGCAGTCTCGTGGAACCCAGGCTGAGGCCTCCCCCTCTCGGTGTCTCTAGGCTGCTTTGTGTCAGGCCTGTATCTCGAAGGTGCCGACTGGGACATAGAGAAGGGCTGTCTGGTCAAGAGCAAACCCAAGGTGCTGGTGGTCGATCTGCCCATTCTGAAGATCATCCCCATCGAGGCTCACCGCCTTAAACTGCAGGTGATTACCACTGTCCCCACCCTATGCCTCCTGCCTGGAGGGCTGAGGCGGCTGCCCATATACTCTCCTACCTAGATGTCTACCCTCTGATGGGCCATAAGCTTTTGGGGTCCACGTCCCCAGGAAAGTGCTTGTGAGCACCTGGGTGGGAGCAGGCCCACCCAGGGGCTTCCACCTCCACCTCAGGATGGTGGCCTGGACACACGTCAGAGAGATGCCCTGCGTGGGGGAGTGTGGGACCGTGGGCAGGATTCACTTGTGAGGCAGCGGTCTGTCCAGGTACCTGGACAAAGCCTGCCAGAGGAACGGAGTGAGGCCTCCGTGCCCACGGGATGCTTTTCCTCACAGAACACCTTCCGGACGCCCGTCTACACCACGTCCCTGAGGAGGAACGCCATGGGCGTGGGCCTGGTGTTCGAAGCTGACCTCTTCACCACACGGCACATCTCCCACTGGGTGCTTCAGGGCGTGTGCCTCACCCTCAACTCTGACTAGGCTTGTAGGAGAGAGCGAGGGGCTGGAGGGACGGATGAGGAACGACCGTCTCTCGGGTCTGTGGCCCAGCAGTACGTGTGGACACAGGTGGGGCTGACACCCACTACTCTTCTCAGGCAGGAGCCTGAACGGTTTTGTGGGTTTGAATTAGATTTTCTCAGAGGATTCTGTGTGTTCACAAAGTAAATGCCGTAGAGCATGGTATCATCAGGTGTGTGGTGTTTTCTCTTTGGGGAGGAGGCAGCCTGGGCAGGAGGCAGCCTGGGCAGGCACTGCTGAGGCTCCAGGTGTAGATGTGCAAAGGGCCGGACACCGTATCCTGGCTGGGCTGCAGCAGGGGTGCTCAGCCACAGCCCTTTGCAGAATTCCGGCCCCCCACCCCCTTTGCTTTCGGGCCCTGCATGGGGTGGACGGGCAGTGTCCTGCGCAGGCAGCTGGAGCACCCAGACGCTGCTGGGCCAGCCCTTCGGCAGCACCCAGGGCCGTGTGCAGATGAGGTAAGTGTTGGGGCCCCGCGCCTCCCCCCCGCCCCGCGTTTTAAGAAAAGACACAAAACAGAAAGGAGGCAGGTTTAGAAAATAAAGTTTGTTGGGCTCTTGAACATGGTGGATCAAACTAACAAAAAATAGACACATTCAGGCCTTGTGGGAGAGTAATTTCTCTTATTGAGCTCCTGAGACAACGCGCAAAGCCGCCCTTG